GGCAGCCCTACATGGGGGAGGGAAGTTTCAATTCATGTACAGCCTGCCTGTGCTCTTAGAGAATTCACTGTAAGTGAGATTGCCCTACATTTGGGTTTAAGCTTCCCAGATGGAGGCTATTAATTTACTGTGCAGTAAGCGCCTGCATGTGTAGATGATGATGCTTTACTGGGTGTGTCTACACATGGGTTTAGGCTTGCTTAAATTTACTGCACAGTAAATTACTGCTCAGTGAGCAGGAATAGGCCGGTGTCTACACGTGCAGACAACCTGGGACTAAATTTAACCTCAGGTCAGAGCAGCCTGCCATGTGCCCCTGTGGCCTCCAGGGTGAGCTCCAGTCTCCAGCCACATGGCTGCCAGCCCTTGGTACTAACTTTAGTCCCAAATTGAAGCCAGAGCCATCTGTCAACACTTGGGAATAACTTTAATCCCAAATTGAAGCCAGGAGAGGTGGCCAGCCAGGAGCCTTGGGGCTGGGCTAGAGAGGCCCCCTGGGTTCCTGCTTAGTAATGCATGTATACATGCATTACTGCATAGTAACTAATCGGGCATAAATTTGATATCTGCATGTTGCAGGTATCAAATTTACGCTCAAGTTGGCATACGTCACCATATTTACTGCACAGTATGGGCATGCACATGGAGATGCGTGCCTGTACTAGGCAGTAATTTCAGTTACTGTGCAGTAAGTGCATACACATAGACGTGCTCACTAAGCAGTAAATTATTCTACTGCACACTCAAACTCGAGAATAGTTTGAGCCAGAATAAATTTCTTCCTGGTACAGCATCTACATGCATGCCCAGGACAGCAATTTGAGCTGGTGTGGAGCAGTTAATGCCAGTGCTGCTCCAGGTGGCAGCTTCAGGCAGCAGCAGGGCTGGCTGGGGCATGAGGGTGCTGCAAGTGCAGATCTGTATGGCTAGATGGCAGGCAGGAGTCTGTCTCGTTGCTGGCTAGGCTAGCCAGGTGCAATTTAGACCTGCAGTTAACATCTACATGTGCATTTAATCACAGTTAATTACTCCACTGTAAGATAGTACTGTCAGGGACAGTACTATCTGGGACAGTACTATCTTATGGTGTGTTAATTAGTTTACTACAGACTAATACCATTGCATGTGCAGATGATGATGCTTTACTCTGCAGCTAATTAGTCTGCTCCACAATAAATCGCATGTGTAGACATGACCACCAATTTCTAGATGTATACCAGCCCTCTTCTGGAGCAGTTTGTATTCATATGAGACTTAGCTGGGCCATCTGTTCAACATCTGGTTATAAACAGGTTGTTCTTGAGCATGATGTTCAGCTGCGGCTACATCTCTTCATCAGTCCAAATCTGGCCACATGTTTTTGTCAGCCTCTAAGCAGCCTGATACATCCTTGCATGAAAGCTTCTTCAGAGATGTAATTCAAAGAGTGGCTTGAAAAGCTAACAGTAATTTGCTGGTGACACAAAAGTGGTTAACAAGGGGTGAAATCCAGGGAAGTCCAAGCAGGGCCACCTGTAATCCTGACTCTGCAGCAGTTAAGTAGAGAAAACTGATCACAGTCCAGTGATCAGTTTTCTGATCACTGGACTGTGATCAGTCCAGTGATCAGTCCAGTGATCATTGGGTAGAGCCTAGAGCAGGCTGTACAACTTTGGTGTGACTTCAGGAGGGGCCTCAGGTGACACAAGCATACAGTGTCTCAGGTAGTACCCCAAGCCATACACTGCATGGACCACATGTGGTGGAGGTTTCCCCGCCAGGATCCTCCTCACCATGCAGGCTTCACTGGCAGCACACGGCCCCCTTGCTCCTCACAGGCATCATGTGCCCCCCTTGCATCCTCCATGCTCCACCAGCATGCACATGACCTGTCAGGCTACTTCCCTGCTATACAGGAGTAGATGGACAGCCAATTGGACAGCCCTGGCCTACTGCAGTGTGACATGGAGGTGGAAGGAATAAATCATGTAGGCTGAGGACAGACATTCAAAAAACCTGAGCCTGAATTGATTCAATCTTTGCAGGTTAGTCTAACCTGGCTAGGCTGAACGGGTTTGTAACTGTACAGACATTCCCACTGGACTGAGAAAATCCAGGCACATGCCTGCAGTGGCTTAGGCTAGAAGCTGGGAGGCACTAGAGCAGCCCTCCCTTCCGTTGCACGGTGCTGAGCTGAGGGAGGGTGTGGCCAGGCCCCAGCAGTATGCTCTGATTAGGGAGGGGTTCCTCTCCCTCCCTGCTCCTGACCAGCCCAGCAGGGAGTTGATAACAGCATTTAGCACCCCAAAACACAACAAAAGCCTCTTTCATTAGTTCGAGCTTTTCTTAAATACCTTTTTCCAAGGAAGGAAAAGAGAGCCGTTTTGGAGCTGTTGATTAGCTCCAAAAAGCCCTAAGCGGACACTGTTCTGTCTGCCTTTGTCCTGTCCACCTTACATGGACACCTCTCACCATTAGCTAGCATACCACATGCTGGCTGTGCTGTGGGAGAGGGGAAGGGGGCAACCCCTGCTTGATCAGGGAGTGGTGTTGGTGGGGAGGGGAAGGCAGAGGGAAGCCAGGCAGATGCTGCTGTGCCTGCAGTCTCTGCCAGAGCTCCAGGCAGGGAGCAGAGGGGCGGGGCCAGACCTGCTGTTGAGCAGAGAGTCCTGCCTGTGCCTGCAAAGCATCTGGGATGCTGGGGGACTCTGGTTTAAGTTAAACCAGGAAGGGGTCTGGGACATCATTGCATAAGCTGATTTGATCCAAATCAGTTAAGTCTGATACTACATCAACCAGGTTTATCTCGAACCGGTTTCAGCCATTTTCAGACTGGTTTATGTGCACTGAACGTCTGTTCTGTTACAGGTTTAAACCAGTTTCTGATCACTTAAACTGGTTTATGCGTAATGTCTGTCCCTAGCCTATGGTTTGCAGTCCACATTAGTAGAGCACAAATGTAGATTGACATGGTAGTATACAACATGCTGGTAGCTGCTTCTTTTTTTAGCAATCTCCATGGTAGTGTAAGCTGTTGAGGACTGTTGTTTGCCATTTGGATGAAGTGTTACAGATGCAGTTAGGGAGTTGCAAACTTCAAAGCAGACTGGTGTAGACAAGGCCACTGTGCTCTGCATGTCTTACAGCAAACAGTTTGGGTAGATACTGTTGGTTATACTGCTTTCTGAAGGTCTGGGAGTTGTAATCGGTGTTATATTACTGATACCTTATCTCTATTTAGAACTCCATTTTTAAGACACATACAGATTGTTCTATCATGTCCTTGTTCACTCTTTTGCTTGCCAGCAGAGAGACTTTTCTGGAGTACAGACTACTTAGCCATTCAAGAGTGGTGAGATTTAGGATGCAGGATGGGGAGAATGGTGGTGTAATTTGCTACCAGTCCACACAAGTAGTAGACTATTTCCTTTTCTATTCTGGCTCCCCTGCACATGCTGGCACATATTTGGGGAGTGGAGTCAAAGCTTTTGTCTACTTTCCACCCACCTCTATCAGCTCTTTCAGTGTGCACAAGGATAAGTCTAATGGTTTCCCAGAGCCTACTCTTTTCCTGCTCTCACACAAGTAATGCAGGGAGACCATGAGGAAGGTAAGAGAGTGTCCTTGTACTCTGCACTTGTAGAGCAGTCACAATTTCATCCTTACCCTGCACTCATAATGTTTCCCTTCTAGAGATGCTTTTACATTTTATATTGATAATAGCTCAAATATAGTTTCAAACTTGCTGTCTAGAGTCAGAAAAATGGTATTTTATGATACATTTTTCATTTTTATCCAGGAACCCAGTGGTAACCATACTCCTCCTCAGTTGTCTCCATCACTTAGCCAAAGCACATACACTACTGGTGGCTCCCTAGACGTTCCTCACATTATCATGCAGGGTGATGCAAGAAGAAGAAGAAATGAAAACTATTTTGATGATATTCCCCGGTCAAAGTTGGAAAGGCAGATGGCACAGGTAGGGTCCTTTTTGTGGTAAGACTGTTCTTTTGTGGTAATCAGTTAGAGACATAATTCTAACACTTGTTGCATGTCCATATTATAGGGCCCGATCGTGATTTCAGGGGGTTTTTTCTGTTTCAAAGGATTGCATGCCATATTTCTGAATCCAAACCTAGATTTTGTTTTCACAAGTTAATGTGCAAATTATTGTGTATATATGAAGAGATTTCTACAGCCAGCTTTTTAAAGGCATTTAGGTACCTAAAAATGCAAGTAGGTGATTTATTTATGAGAAGGTGCAGATTCCTTGTTTTATGAGCAGCCTGGACAAAAATATGCTGGTAGAAGCTTACTGCGTAAAACGCAAAAAACTGATGAGAGCTGTGGCAGCCATCTTTATTAATGGAGTGGGTCAGCCCTTTTCTAAGGACACTTGTAATCTTGGGGTATGTTTGAACATTTTTAAAAGATTTTCACTTTTCTTATGTAATGACTTTTCTGCCCATCACCATAGCACTTAACACAGCTAGACATTAAATGACAGTCCAGAAAAGCACAGCTGTTTTAATCATACCCTCTCCCCTCCCACTTCAACTAACTGGAAATAATGTACTGACAATTTTAAATCAAGCGTATGCTTCACAGTAAAGATATGTGTGCACTACTTCAAAGGTCAGAAAAGTTAAGCTTTGATAGGCTCTCAGCAGAAGTGCCTCAGGGTGATCTCTCCTGCTTTTGTATGGTGCATAGGAAAAAAGATACCATATCCTTAAATTATTTAGTGTTTACAGTATGTATCAGAAATACAACTTTGAATGACTCTCAGAAACAGCTAGTGCAATCCATGAAGCAACTTAGTCTACTGAGCAGACAGGTTGCTGCATTTTGAAGCTTCCAAATGATCTTCATTCATAGCCTGAACTGCAAAGTATATTTCAGTAGTGCAATTAGGAAGTGGCAAAAACTATGCAACTATCTATGTGAAAGGTCATGTCAGCAAAAAATACTGCAGTCTCTTAGCCAAGTGTATGTACAGAAAAACCCTATTAAAAAAACAAGTGAAAGCAAGCCAAGATGGTGCTGCTATCTGGGAATCTAGCCCTAGGTGATAAATTCCACTTGTTCAGGAAACATGTATAGAAAAGTGAATTTGGACTTTTTTTCCTTCTTAGTTTTCAGAGAACTTCTCTGGCTGCTCTGTAATTCTGTCCTACTGAAATAATACTTTCATTCTAACTTAGAAACGGAAAAAAGCTAAGAGAAGTTGCCTAGTGAGCAAGCCTGCTTTCAAACGGAGGTCTTCTGGACTTCCAGAGCTTGAGCAAATTTGACTTAAGTGAAAGTGAAAGGGAAAAAAACACTTTGTCACCTACTGTAAAAATACTTTTTTGAAAGTCACAAAACTTGAATGTCAGAATATGAAATATCCAATTATTTGTGGTTGAGGTGGCAATCATTTGTGCACATTTTATCACTTGGTTCACACTCTCATGTCCGCTTTTATTTTAGTCCCTAATGTTTAAAAAAAAAATAAAGTACTGTATTAGCAAGTTGGCCTGCCTTCTTTTTGATCTCCTCTTTTCCTGTCCACAGCTCTGCTCTTCCCAAGAGGTATAATGCATCCCTTCATCAGATACCAGGGGACTTGCTTAACAGTTTCAAATTGCTTTCCCAGAAAGTCTGTGATACATGCCTTATATGCAAGGAGAAATATGAGCGCTTAGCATCTCAACTGCTTTGAACCACTTTAAAGTCAATTAAGTGTTGCCTTTTATGTTTTCCTGGGAGTTAGTCCCCAGTGAATGATGCTGTTCCACCTGTTCTCTCCCACTGTCTCAGTGAACTACATCAGTCATCCTTCAGGGTTCTAAAAGAAGACAGTGAACAGAGTGTAACAGGTGAACTCAAATCTGTTTGAATGCTCTTCTGACTTGGAATCCAGTTCTGTAGCCCTGATGTTTGCAAATGTCTCTTGATTTTAATGGGAATGTCAGCAGCTTGCTCTGGTGCTCATTCTCACTTGGTTGGAGTCACCCTATTAAGAGGTTAAGCTTGGCTTTTCTCAGCCACTCTAGTCCCAAAATTCCATTTTTTTCTTAGTCTCTCAATTTATGCCCTTACTGCTTTACTGACATGAACAAAATCTAAAAAGTCCAGTCTAATGCAAAAGTATATCTAGCTCTTTCTACTCTGAAGGCAGGGTAGGTACGCACCTTATAGACCAGGGGTGGGCAATTATTTCAGGTGGAGGGCCACTTACTGAGTTTTGGCAAGCCATCGAGGGCTGCATGACAGGCAGCCAGGGGTAGATAAATATTAATTTTCTAAATTTTTTAGGAGCCCCATGGGCAGGATAGAATGGCCTGGCGGGCCGCATCTGGCCCATGGGCCACATTTTGCCCACCCCTGTTATAGACCACCTGAAGAACATAAGCTTTCATGAACTCAAGTTCACTTCACCAGCTGCTTCTGACTTCTGACTAACTACCTCTCCTTCTACCCTGTCAGACAGGAATGGTCAAGGTATGGTTTATTCCAACCATACACACATTCATACATTCAGTCCAATTGTTAACATGGGCTCTCTACTCACTTCTGTCTAGCAGCTTCTTAAGAATATAAGAATCTAGAAAGTGCCATATTGGGTGCATCTACATGTGCACTTGACTGCAGAGTAGACTAATTAGCTCTGGACTAAAGCGTCACAGTCTACACATGCACTGGTATTAGGGCTCAGTACATTTATTAACTCAGCTATAAGCTAGTGCTGTCAGGGACAGTATTATCTTACAGCAGAGTACTTGCATGTGATCAAATGCATGTGTAGACTATGATGGGAGCTGGCTGGGGCACGAGGGTGCTAAAGTGTGGGGGCTGCCTGCCAGCTAGCCACGCATTGTAACACCCTCTTGCCCTAGCCAGCCGTGACCACTACCCAGAGTCTGGGGTTGACCCCCCAGGTCCCCTGCTAGTCCAGGACTGCTCTTCCCCAGCTCAGTGTACTGTGGTCCCAGGTGCATGTGTAAACGCTGAACCTGGAAGCAGCTGACTCTACTGTGAGCTTCCCCAGAGTTTATTGCATTGTACTAATTGCATGTGTAGAGGCACCCACTGTGTCATATCAGTGCTCCACCTAGCCAAGTATCCTGCCTTGTACTGTGGTAGGAGTGGATGCTTTAAAAGGAAAGCATTGAGTGAATTATATCTAGTATGTTCTGTCCCCTATATAAAAAGTCCAGTCTAATACAAAAGTCTACCTGGATCCTACCCTGGAGGCACGGTACATAGGCACCTTATAGACCAATTGAAGAGCATAAGTTTTCATGAACTCAAGCTGAATGCTCCCTGACATCCACCATTGTTGATTTAGAGATGCCAGAGGATATTAATAGCTATTAATGAATCTATTGTCCATGAATTTGTCTAGTCCCTATCTGCCTCTACGGCCTCCTGTGGTAATGACAAGCTAACTACACACTGAATCAAATACTTTCTCTTGTTAGTTTTAAGCCTCTCTCCCATTAATTTCAGTGGGTGCCCCTTAGTTCTAGCATCACAATTCTTCTGTTTCAAATAGTTGTGGGTTCCATCATCATGTTATTTTCTGCTCAGGCTCTGACTGAAAGCACCCTGCCACCAATTGTTTCTCATAGAAAAATCCTTAAAAAAATTGTATCAGCTGTTGTTGTTCCCTTAACTCTTTCTCTGTCAGGCTGAATGCAAGAATATGCTGTCACAAGGTGTTACACGTGCAGAAGGGCTTTATTCTCATTGCTGTGATTTTGGATGTTGCTGAGTCTCACTTTTAATTTTTAATTGACACATTTAATTTTGAAGAGACTAATAGATTATTGACAGTTTACAAAGCAATATCTTAAGATAAAGAGTTTCTGCCTCTGACAAACTGTTCATTATGCTTTTTTCCTAAACTTTATTTGATTTAATTTTTTTCAGGGTAAGCCTGTTTTAAGAGACACTTTACAACCTAATATCTGAAAAAAATGTTTTAAGTAACTGATGCTTTCTAAGTCTTCTATATTTTATATGGCAAATATTTTCACTACAGTGTGTCTGATAATCATAAAGCATACTTATTTGTGCATTGGATATTAGCTGTTGTTATGATAAAACTATTATACTGTTTGAGAAGGAAAAGATTAAATCATTATTCCAAACAATGTTCAGCTCTTCTTCCTAAATATCAAGGACTGTTCACTTTATCAAGGCAAGATTGTTTTTAAATTATTTATTGTGGATAGACCTACTATCACAGCAAATGTAAGTTCATTCAGAGCTCCATAATAGATTGCAAATGGTTTTCTGTTCATTTTATAGGGAAATAAAATAGGTTAATGCTGAATTTTCAACCAATTTAGGCACCTAAATTCAGCCAATTAAGGCACCTAAATCCTATTGTATTTCAAGTTGACATGGGGCTCTAAATCCTAGAGTTCAAAACTCCTAGCAAAATTGTGTACCTTGAAAGACAGAATAAAATAAAATAGCTGCAAAATATGCTTAAGAAGGGATTGATTGGTCTGTGTCATCTTTATAGTAGAGGGAAATGTTTTATTGTTGAACCTGAAACTAATGATCTTATTATATATATATATATATAAAATATAGCTTATTTTAAAATATCTCAGGTTGCACTCAAAATTACTAACCCTTGAAATTAGAATTGAAATAATTTGGGAATAGATTAAAGGACCCACAGTAGTCAGTGAAAAGAATTGTACTGAAATCAGTGGACTTGTGGACCAGTATTATTTCTGATATAAAGAAGAGCCAATATTTATGGAGAGAGTCAGTGAAGGTGGAAAAGGTAGCATGGTTAAATTCCTTAATAAATATTGTTTCAGATCCAACTCTTTAGGATTAAAGATTCCACAGACAACAAAAGAAACTTTAGTAACTAGACTACAAATATATCAAAGCCTGCAGGACATTGTTGTTTATTTTATTATTTTAGTCTTTGCTTATTTTAATATTGTATACGAGGGGAAGAAGGATATT